ACTATGTCCGATTTCTTGAATCACTTCTGATGCCATCCTAATCAAGTGTCTTTCTTCTCATATTTTTCTTATAAAAATTTCCAATTCTTACCAAAATTATATTCCTAAAATAAATCTATTTCAATTAAACAACAATAATAATTATTTATAAATATTTACCGTTCATTATGTTTCGTTTGGCCATTGTATTCTATTAAAAATAAACAAATAATTATTCTATTAAAAGTTACTAAATTTACTGTTCATTGTACAGAGATACCAAAATCAGCTAATTTAGTATGATCATCATTTGTTAAAAGAATATTTCCTGCTTTAATATCTCGATGAATTTTACTACATAAATGTAAATATTCCAATCGTTTAAGTATATATTTTAATATAATAGCTGCTTCGTGATAATTTAACTAAATTAATAAAAACTACTTAGGGCAGTCCAAAAGTAGTGATCCAGATATTGTAATTCCTTATAATAAGCTTTAAGAAAATTTCTTTCTATATAGTCTGACAGAGAAAAGAATGCTCTATTTTTTCATGCTATTTGGTTGTACTTCAATTAATATCATAATAATAAAATTTCGATAAGATCTGTTTTCTTCGCATGTGTCACAGTAGCAGGGATGCTGGTAAGAATTTTTTGAATAAGTTTTAATAGAAACCAGATAGAGTACTGTGATTTTCACTGCTGAAAGGAGGAGAGGAAGATGCATCGATTTATGTTACAGATTTTTCTAATATTGGTTTCTGAAGTCTTTTTCTTCGATTTTCTAATTGTCGGAAAAATGCTTTTTTCATAAAATAAGAAAACCTACAAAGGTGAGTTTTTTTTCACAGAAACTGCTACACAGTCCTATTAGAGGCTCGATTAGAATACATATTATTCATCTCACTCTTCAGTAGTTTTTAGATCTTCGATTAATGGGTTGAATCTATACTTGATAATTGTAAATTTACTGTAAACAATTTAGCACATTGGTTTATTTCTAAAAAGTTCATTTCAAAAGCTTACAAAAACCAGATCAGGAAATTTTGTGTTATACGATTCGATGCATCTTCATCACCTCTTTCCAACGGTGAAAATCGCAGTACTCTATCTGGTTCCTATCAAAAGTTATTCAAAAAAAATACTCGTCCGCCTTTTTAAAATAAGTGTTGATGGTACCGTGATATATACGAAGAAAACAGATCTTATCGAAATTTTATTATTATGATATTAATTGAAGTATGATCAAATAGCATAGAAAAATAGAGCATTCTTTTCTCTATCCGACTATATAGAAAGAAAGTTTCTTAAATCTTATTATAAGGAATTACAATACCTGGGTCACTACTTTTGGACTGCTCTAAGTAAAAAACCATGAAATTAATTCGATTTCTATTATTACTGTTCTTCCTGAAAGTTTCATTATATCGGACATTGAACCAGCTCCACAATATTCCATAACAATCTTTAAAAGTATATCAAAATGAAGTGAACAAAAAAAAAGTTATTTCTTTTACTTATAAATCAACATCTTCAAAATAACTACCAATATATTTAACTATATAAGGTGATTCACACTGTTTTATTAAAATTTCTTTAACAATTTCTTGTAAATTACTTTCAAATAGCACTAAAAATAAAATATTAATTAGGTAGATGAAAGTAATTTTTTGACTTTCTACCTTGTTTTATCGTTAAAAAATATCCTATTTCTCAATGTTTTGTTTTTTATACAGATCCATATGATCTATATTATCAAAATAAGAAATACCGAAAGAAAAATTGAGAATACATCCTATTCCGCGATGTTGAACATTGCGGCATCGATTCCGCCCCCGGAATTAATTCCACCGATTCCGGAACCGGATCAACCCCACTTACAATCAACTCCGGAATTTCTCGCATCAATTCCGGAATTAATCGCATCAATTCCGGAATTAATCGCATCAATTCCGGAATTAATCGGACTGATTCCGGAATTACCCGGCTAGATTCCGGAATTGCTCACTGGCATTCCTTCTAGCTCTCACCCTCAACATTGGCTATTGTGCTCAGAACAAGCGAGCGATTCCCCTGGGGAATTTCCGGAATTAAATTGGCACGGAATCAGTAGGAATTCCACGGAATTCCGCGGAAATCAGGAATTGGAAGAAGCGACTCCGGATCCGAAATTGCAAGCAACGATTCCGGATCCGGAATCCCTAACTAGCATTCCTTCTTGCCCTCACCCACACATTGGCTATTGTCCTTAGAACAAGCGAGCGATTCCGCAGAGGAATTCCCGGAATTGAATTGGCACGGAATCAGTAGGAATTCCACGGAATTCCGGAATTGGAAGAAGCGACTCCGGATCCGGAATTGCAAGCAACGATTCCGGATCCGGAATCGCTTCTTCCAATTC